GGCTTTTTCAGAATTGGGAGTTATACCTCTCAATCCTTAAAGTATTTCAGAAACCCTACCTCGGATGAGGTCATTTAGACATTGTTCGGGTAGAAGTCATTGTTGGGTGGTAAAATGCCAGGAACAGGTGTATCAGTCTGGCATTTTATTAGTGACTACCTGCAAGCAAATTTTCAGGAAATGAGTATGATACAGATCTAATTGGCAGAGGTAGAGTGCGCCCAGTACATGTAATTTAGGGATAACTTAATCAAAGGTGGAGGAAATACTTCAAGACTAGGGTACACAGAAAAATCAGGCCCTGACACATCTAGCTATTAGTCATGTATACAGTTCCACCCCAGTAAGTGTATTAGGAGGAAGAAAATGGAAAATCTGTCTTTTACACTGATAGAAAAGGCTGCAGCCTGCATTAATAGAAATGAATTTATCAACTGCCTGAGTAAAATAGTTTGTATAATTGTTAACTGCTGACAGATTCTTGAGTACTCCTTTGTAGCACCTTATCCTGAGTATCTTTCCTCCTCCCTCCCCCAAACACCCCCAGTTGCTAAAAACCAGATGCGTTGGAATTAGTCCAGAATCCACAATTAGAAGAATGTGTTTTCTTCCGAGTTGGAGGCTGACTATCTTTTTCCCTCAAGAAATGAAGATAGCCCTTTTCTATGTTTATGCCAGAGCAATAAACCAGTTCTCATTTCAGTCACTGTTTTATTTTTTTAATTGGGACCGAAGGGGTGGAGCTTGCTATAAACTACAGCTTATCTTTTAAAAAAGCAAGAAACGTGTCATTTGTAGATCTTTTATTCCCAGGCAAAAATGTCATTGTTAGAACTTTTCTCTAAATTTATTCCATCCACCCATATACCACAGCGTGTTGTTCTGAGTTCTTTCTGACTTGTCAGTTGTTTGAGCTGAAGACTACACCCTGGGAGCTCAGGGAGTAAGTAACACATAGCTCAGCTGGAGGGAGGCAGGCTGGGAGTCCTCACTTTGCTCTTAAAAGGAAAGAAGAGCCGGGTTTTGCTGTCTTTGCTGATTCCAAGATGCTGTGAAAGCAAAACTGCTGGGATTCTGTGCTGCTCTCAAATCCAGAGTACTCTACTTTGTACAGACTTAATTTATTCCATGTCTCTTAATGGATTTTTCCCAGAACACTTGCCTCGGCTTTTCCCCCATTGAAATCCAACAGATAGCATCTTTCTGTTTTCTGCCAAACTGACCGGTTTCAAAATATACATGTCCTGTTTTATGGAAAGAATTAAGCCTTTAAAATTTTGTTGATGGGGTTGCTGTTGCTTTTCTCAGCATTTACCTAGTATCTTGATTTTTATTTTGCTAAACTCTGCTGGCCTTGAAATTTTCAGTGGCTTAGCAGTAATTGGAGTAATGAAGACCGTGCCACAGGGAACTACCTTTGTTTTCCTGTGGCAGAAAAGCATTTTCCACCTCCACTGTTCATAATGAGTCTCACTAAAATGAAACTCAAAGATCAGTTACCTAAAGAAAATAGCATGTGAGCTAGTAAATAAATACATATTAGGCTTCTCTGTAAACTTTCTGTTAGCTTGGAAGCTCTTGATTGAACATCGTTTAGGGTAAATGCTAACATGGATTTTTTTTTTCTCCCTGAAACATTACTCTGAAAAGAACAAAAAACTGTGCTTAAATGCCACTGTGATGTGGTATATGTGAGATTATATCATATGAGACATCTCTTAGACTGAAGAGATACTACCCCACTTTTTTTGTTTGTTTTTTTGCTTTAAAAAAAAAAAAAACAGGATCAAGTGAACTACTCTCATCCAGTTCTTAAATTAGAGGACTGGAAACATTCCAGTAACAGCTTACCAGGAATTATTGGCCATATTTAATTCCCTTGTAGTGGATGGAATGGACCTTCAAAGCAGATGATTGATACTGAAGGGGGAAAAAAAAACAGAAAGCTTAGTATTTAAGTACAGACATTAAGAATTGATCATTTGTCAGATATTGAATACAGCAAAAGTGATCTTGCCTGTTTACCAGGAAAGAGTGCTAAGACTGACGCATGCTTCTGAGCAGCACTTAGAGATGCGAGCTGCTACATCACCCCATGGCCCTTGTCACCAGAGAAGGCTGTTGGGTTCAGCTGCTGAGTTCACCTAACTTTCCTAGATTGCACCAGCAGAGTGCCTGGGTTTATAGCCACTAGTAAGCATCACCCCAGAATTATTACCAGTAAGTCTGCTTCCTAGCACTGCAAGTTTTTTAAAAAAGGCTGAGAAGGCCCTCCCTG